AAACCCCTCAACTTCTTGTCAGGGTGGAGGTGCGCAGACTTTGCCTCTCATCCAGCTCATCCCGGGGTCCTAAAGCCTGCGTAAATTTGAGCTCGTCTGAAGATGCACCTGATACATCCACCTGCTCCTACACCTGATCACTGAGCTGATCCTCAAAGCAGCCTCAGTAGCTCAGATGATAACAGGGATTAAAACACCTTTTCATACAAACTCTGACTGAATACAATGAAAAATCCAGCTCCCACACTCAAAGAACAAACAGCCAGCCACTTTGGTGTCTTTTGTTTTTTTCAAAGCTGCATCACAAGTCACTGTAGGAGTTTTAATGCCTATGGGACTTATTTTTATCGCCATATGGCGCCAATTTTCCTTGTCATGAAACTCGGAATTTCAAAACTCGGTGTGTTTCCCAGCAGAACAAACAGTATGTTATAAATAACCCCACATTGCAGTGGAATGAGACAGTGTTTTTATATTTCCTCCAGTATTTCTGTGTGTGAGAGAGACTCGGCTTGGTGCAGGCGTCTCCCCGGTGCGTCACACATCAAAGATGCTCTCTCCGGCCAGCTGGCGGCGGGCCTCGCAGTCTCATGACCGTCTGTCGGTGCCGGGAAGCGGGGCGGTCGCAGCTTCGATCTCCCCGGTTCTCTGAGGAGATCTTGGCAACACAGACTGCTGTTTTTCAACTGAGTGCAGACAAAGACCTGAGCTGAAGTTTTTCTTTCTTCCCTTTTTTTTAACAAGTGGAAATTTCCCACTTTTTTGGCAAGTAGAATTTTGTTTTTCCTACTTTATCACAATGAATTGAACACAACATGTGGCGCCCAAATCAAATTATGATTAAAAAAAGAAGTTGAAGGGAAAACGCCCCAGAAGTCATGTAAGGATTTCAGTGGAAAAGGTCTAATAATTTCCTAATGCATTTTCCAAGTGACCTCAGGGTGATGTTTTCTTTCAGGTGATGGCCAACAAGAGGTCAGACTGTACCCATTTTTTCTTCACCACATCACTAGAAATGAAGACCATCTGTGTCAGCCTGCTTCACCGGCTCTGTTCTGTGTTGTGGTTGAGTGGAGCTGTGAAAGGCCACTGCTTGCAACTTGGCAGTGCAGCCAATGGGAGCCTTAAGCCAGTTTGGCTGCAGCCAGAGACCAGATCATTCTGGTGGTGCTGGTGCTGGTGCTGGTAGTGGTGTGTCTGAGTGGGTGGGTGGGATTAGCAGCTGCCTTCCCCTCATTATACACAAAGACACTCACCTCCCCTCAGCCCAGGATGACAGGGCAGAGTGGCGTCTGATGATTGTGATTACAGTACACAGAGGTGGGAGGGGGACACCTGGAGAGACAGATTGAGAAGTTGAAAGAGCAAAGGAGGGCGTCAGAGCAACAAGATGGGGGTGTTGCACAGAGGGGTGGAAATGAAAGAGACATGAAAGATCACAGGGAGAGAAAGAGAAGTGACCAGCTCTCCACCTCTGTCTTCTTGTGGGAATAATGCTTGTAAGCCTCGAGATTGAAAAGGAAGAAAGTCTTCATGTATTTCCAGTGCTCTGCAGTGAACACTCCCATATGTTCCTTCCTGCAGCCAAAACACACACTGAATTGAAGTTTCCACCGCCAGCACATTTGCAGACACGCACATAAACACCAAGAGAACATGGACACACACACACACAGGCACGTACACACACATACACACACACTGAAGGTCCAGGGTCCAGTCCACATTCTCAGGAATGTGGACTGCATTCCACCATCCGACTGGAAGCCAGAGCTGTAAATGAGAAGGCACGACAAGTACTCGCATGCATCCTTCCCTCACACACACACACACACACACACACACACAAACACAAACACAGAGAGATGGACAGAGTGAGAGAATAACAGTAACTTTTGGCTGCATGATTAATTTTTGGGTTGTTGTTCATTCATATTTCTGTTTCACAACCAGTGACTTCTGTTTGTGGTGACAAGATGAGACACAGAGATCCTACTTTGTTTTTTTCTCTTTCAGTTTTTAGACCCAAACCTATTAGCTGAATGATGTCAAAGTCCATGGACAGGAAATTAACATTTTGAATAACCATCTAATCATTTCAGTCTTTTTCTTCCTAATAAAACTGTCATCATTAACTGGTTCCAGCTTCTCAGCTGTGAATCTTTTGAAGATTCACAAGAATTTGTTTTGTTGCAGCCTTCTGTGATTGCAAACTGAATATCTTTGGGGTTTTGAACAGAAAATAAAAAACAAAGACACTTGAGGACAGAGATGTGGACTCCAGTCACACTACTTGGATCTGAGTCAGACGTGAGTCACAGATTTGAAGGCGTCCAACTCGACTTGGCCTTCAACATCAGTGACTTGTGACCTCACTTGAACTTGAGCCTTTTGACTTGAAAAACATACTTAATGCCTTCCCCCCGAGCCAATTTGGGAAGAGAAGGTTATGGACATTTTTTACAGAGGTGAATTAAGTACACGAGGGAACAAAGACAAAAATCCAGTCAGTGGTGGGTCTGGTTAATAGTGCTATACAATGTAATGTCAGCACTACTTTTTTATGATTAAGTTCAGTGGCACTTGTTTCAACAAACGTGTTTTAACAAATAAATACTGATTTCTTTTAAATTAAATATATTCCTCTGTTGTTAAAGTGGCATTACATTCAGTGAAGAGCGCATTATGACTTGTTAAGGACTCAAAACTCAAATATTAGGACTTGGGATTTGACTCTTGACTTAAGTGCAAAGACTTGAGACTTACTCGTGACATGCAAAAGACTGAATTGGTCCCACTGTTGCTTGCAGACATCATGCTGGACTCTGGGGAAACTGTGATGGACAGTCTGCACCTTCTTTGACCTGTGATAGACTAGAAGATTGATCAGTTAATAAAGAAAATGATCATCGAATAAATCAATAATAAAATATGTTGTAAAGGACTGACATGTGAAAGTATCTGTTGTCTTGTAATGGTTTTATTTTGTTATATTGTAAAAATAATATTCAGTAATGTGTGATTGAGTTTGGGCAATCATGTGACATCTACAGTAGAGCCAGATGATTTGGTTTAAGAGAGAGAGAGAGAAAGTGTGTGTGTGTGTGTGTGTGTGTGCGCGCGCGCGCGCGCGCCACCTTTCCTAGCTCTCCAACAGACTGTGAGAAGCAGCGGAGTGGTGCTGCCCTCTACTGGAGGATGAGTGGTACTGACGTTTTTTCTACGTTTCATGTTCACCTGACAAAAAAAAATATGTATACATATTAACATCAGGTACATTTACGAGATTTCCTCCTGAGCTTTCGATCACATCTCGTGGCCTTCATCGGCGGATGGAGTCTACTCAGTTGCCATGAAGATAGATGTTCAGTTTGTAATGTTTTGTGTCATTCATTCCCAATACAGGCTGCACGATTATTATATTGATAAAACATGATCACACATTAGACCATTTGGTAACATGCGTGCTTTGTCGCTGTCTGGCTGAGGTTACAGGCCCTTTATAAAACACCACTGTCACTGAAATGCCAACAACAAAGTCTGACAGCTCTTTCAAAGAGCAGGACTTAAAATAATAATTTAGATGGTTCATCATGTGTAATCCTTACACGAAGGAGACGCACAAATCATTAGCCTACATCACCTTATATTTTGAATAACTGTGTAGCTCAGTGAAGATGAAAGTCATGTATGATTTTGTCACTGCATTATGTATTTGTTTTCAGCTCTTGACACCAGTCAGTAAGGACATTATAATGCATTCGTCACTGCAGAATAAATTGCTACCTGCTGTTTTAATGCGAAAAAAAATCTCGTTTCCTCTCTTTTGTTCTCATTGGATTTAATTGTGTAGCCTAAATCAGTGACAGATAATTGCTTTTATTGTAATTTCAACTTTAATTAGTTACTTTGAAATCAAATATCGTGATATGTTCTCCTTCAGTTCCCCACAAGAGACATTCTCCTTATCATAAATCAGAGTTTGCTCTGTGTGTTGCAGCACTGATGGAAAACAGTTTCCATCTTGACTTTTGAACAGACATTTAAATGTGACTTATAAGACGTCAGTTCACAGTTTGGGAGCCCTGTCGTTTCCAAACTCTTCCTTGTGACAGCAGAAGACCCGCTGAAATAATGTCGTCCATCACATGTTTGATTATACTGAATATCAACACGACTGTGCCGCGCATCATACGCCTTCCTTCTGCTTTTGCGGCTGCAGCTGTGGCGCAACAACTGGCACAGACCTCACATCTCACGCACACGAGAACGGTGCGTCTCACAGTGACACAACGAGATGCGACAAACGCATCAAATAATGGCCCGTCATGGTCATGTGGCCCCATGGACGTTTAAGGTTATCTATCGTGCAAGCCAGAAACTGAACTCCCAATAGAAAATATCTAAATAACACGATTATGTTATTACATTACATTTAATATGCCATCTCATGTTTGCCCCTTTTATCTGACATATTTTTCCATTCAGGCGAGGGTTAATAGAAGCAGAATTTTCTTGAAAGTGATCACAAGATATATTTCGTATAAAATCATTTTAGCTATTTGGATATAAATAAAGACAATATTTATTTTTTGTCCAGCAAGATTCACAATCAAATCCTGTAAGTTGAGGACAAACATTTAAAAAATAAAAGTATGGAGAGGAATTTGTCGCGCTGCACCAACTGTTTATAAAAAACAGCATACATACATTATTATCACACTTTCAAAATAGCAAAATAATTAACCAGTAATCACAGACATCAGTCATAATTTGAGATTAAACGCTCCTTCGTATTAAAAGTCTTACTGGGACAAAGGGACAGAGAGGGGTCGTGCGCAAATGGCGTGCCCGCGCGCATCTCGTCTCTCATGAGTTTCCTGCGCCCAGGAGACTTAATAAGGGATGAGATGCGTCCTGTTAGGACACATCACATGTTTTTGCGCACAGCGGCCCCCAGATTAAATTACTGAACATCAGGACAAGCTGGTGGAAGAAGAGCTGGACGAGCAGAGAGAGGGACAGGCTCTGTCGGTGAACACATAATAATAATTATTAGTAATATTATTATAAGATATTTCTGGGAGGTGGATAGGTTATTTTTTGACGACAGATTTTTCCTCAAGAAGAGTGGAAATGGACGCCTTGCGTTGTGTTTTTTTCCTGGTCTGTGCCTGCTTTGCTTATCAAGCTGATGGGCGCAAAAGTAAGTGCTTATCTAAAGTTAGTCTAATTAAAGTTATGATGCAGTATTCTGTCTGACAATGGCTGTTATATCAGGCTCATATATTTACAAAGTCTTCTATTTTATTCAAATATTCACACTGAAATGGCAGAAATGATTTCATCTCAAAGCCTTAAAATTGTGTCGCAGTTAATTGTGAAACAGACTTCTGATAGGCTGTCCGATGTTTGTCTCAAAGTATCTGTAATACCTGTTCTGTCATCAGCTCTCTGCACTCAGAGTCCCATGAGCTTAATTAAGGCGTGTTCCCTCTGGTCAGACAACTGTCTACACAAAAGAAGCGATTTTACATCCATAAAAATAGACTTTATCTTAACCCTTCAAAGGACAAACCTATTTAATTTACAGTTACATTCTCACATAGGATTCCAGAGGGAAGAATTTAGCCCTTAAACAATTAAAAAAACATATATTTAATGCATGTTATCAATATGAAAACAACAAAAGTATCATATTTTTTTATTATTTCAGCTGCATATTTAGTTTAGAATGTCTGTGTTTATCATGTTGTGAGCTGATTATCTGCACAGAGGTCTGCTCACACAAATATGTTCCCACAGAAATCTGGATTTTTTTTTTCCTTTAATCAAATCACATGGATGGAATTTGTTGTTTTCCTCTGCCATCCTTAAAACATGTCATCTGTCCTAAATTAGGACAGCAGCCAGAAACAAAGGCATGGAGTTAAAAGAGAAGACGATCATTAGTAATAAATAAAAGGCACTTGGTAGGACCAGATACATTTTTTCAAGATGCTAAGATATGTGTAAGCCCAGGGCCAGGTATTTGCTATTAGATTTATTAACATCTCTCACACAGAACAGCTGGTGTTTAAAGATAATTCCACATTTTCCCATATTTTTTCAAACCTGATCTCATTATTATCATTTAGAACCCAGGTCCTTAAAAGGATTCCCACTTCAAGTAAGGGGTAAATCTTTCCATTTAAGGAGTCAAACCATTTCATTTCATATTGGTTTCATAGGTTTTATTTTCTAAACTGCATGTTAGGTGACAGGATGGACACATTTCAGGTTTCAGGTTTAAATACAAAATTAAATTTCTATTCAAAGCAGAGACTTATGCTTGCAGACTTTGACTAAAAACCTTTTTTTGGAGCTGTTCTTGACATTATTAGTGATGTTTGAGAAATACAGTTCAGTTAAACGGAACTTGAATCATAATAATGAAGACAATTTCTCTAATGTAGGTAAAGAAAGGTTCCAATAAATGTCATTATATGTGCACAATTAGCTGAAAAAGCAAAACACCTTTGCTTCATCGGGGACCCTATAAGTTTTAGTTTCCCCTCAGAATTCCTCACAACATTTCAAGGGGCCTGAAAAGTCTTAAAAGTCTTTGTTCTTTCTCCAGCATTTGCTGACATGTTCCCTCACAAGCATGTAGGGAAGTTACCTTTTCCAATCCCACCAATCCCTGGCTGGGATCCTGACACCAACCCCTGGGATGATTACCTCTACCCTCCACTTAACCCAAAGCTGCAAGCTCTCTCACGCCACAAAGGTGAGTAACATCACTTTTCTCCTCTGAATTCTTCCCATTATCTTTTTTTTGTTTTGTTTTTCACCTGGAGCTTCCACTTTGCTTCAGGTAAACCCAAGGTTCGCCTGACAAGCGACAGCCCAGCTCTCAACGGCTCTTGTGTCTCCTTCACTGCGAAGCTGGAGTATCCTCCCTGTCAGAAGGAGGACGCCAATGGGGACCTTGTGTGGGATGATCACTGTGAGGACGGTACGGAGCTCGAGGCCTCAGGTGCTGCCAAAAAGCCAGGCCAGGCCACGCCCCACTACACATGGTGTCATTTTCCAGCACAAAACAACCACTGTATCATATAAGACAGCCATACTACACCATACATCAGACAAAAAACAGCCACAGAAGCATTTTAAGATGTGTCACAAGCACACGGACCATTAGTTCATTTTTTGGCCACTTGGGGGCAGCACAACAAACTGTAAACACAACATTGTAGGTTATTATCACCTGGTAAAGTTGATATGATGGCAAACACTTACCTTTTAATGATCTGTTCTGTCACAGAGTCACTGATGAAGTGTTGCTCATTAATGTAATTATGTTGTCATGGCGAAATGGTGAGACAAAAACATATGACTGTTTGATGCTTCAAAGGTTGAGGCCAGCTTAACTTTCATTTGTATCACATCACGCCCATCACACAACCACCAAGTGTCAGGTGTCAAGTGTCAGTTTGTAGCTTTGTGTCACTGGCTTCTCTTGAAAATGACTTGTAGCCTGTAGTGAGCATTACACATCCAGCAGACAAAGAGCAACACTAGCATAAATTTGGAGTCTTGTCAACCTGGTGAATGTGAGGACTCTGACACACCAAGCCAACAGTTGGCCAGTGGTCAATATCAGGCAGTCAGTGAGCATCTGTTGCCCTAGTTTCGGTGGTGAGTCAGCCTTTGTCAGCTTTTTTCGGCCGGTTGAGCATGTTGAAAGTAGTCATTTGGCCGATTGTTGAAATTGAAATATACATTTTTAAAAATAATCTCACTCTCCTTTCTTCTGAGCAGCCAATGGACAGGTGCGTTCTGGCTATGTGTACAACTGGACTTCCTGGCTGGACGACTATGGTTTTGGAAAGTGTACGGATAAGACGAAATGCAATGTCTTCCCTGATGGCAAGCCCTTCCCTCAGAGCAATGACTGGAGGCGCAAGAGTTACGTCTACGTGTGGCACGCCATGGGTGAGACCAATATACAGATTTGAACACATGCAAAAAAAAAACAAAAAAACAACTGTTTGACTTTCCATTCATCCTCAGGCCAGTACTACGAGACGTGTGATGGCTCCTCCTCCAGTTTGACCATCAACACCACCACCATCCCTCTGGGTGCAGAAGTCATGGAGGTCATGGTCTACAGGAAACGTGAGCGCAGGAAGTACAGCCCCCTCACCACTGACAACACCGTCTTCTACGTCACAGGTTTTACACGCTTACTCTTCGTCATCTGTTGGCAAAGACACATACAAACAATTAGGAACCCGGAGAATGAATTATTTATTACCCCCCCTTACACTCTCTCTTAGATAAGATCCCACTGGCGGTCAACATCTCCCAGAAGGCTGCGGTCAACCAGTCGGACAATGTTTTCTTTCGTGGTGAGGACGTGGTCTTCAAAGTCCAGGTCCACGACCCCAGCGGCTACCTCAAAACCGCAGCGTCCATTGACTACATCTGGGACTTCAGAGATGGCAACCAGCTGGTGACACACCGCGACCTGACCACACACAACTATAACACGGTGGGGAACATGAGTGTGAAGCTGGTGGTGGAGGCAGCGTTCCCTATGGAGTGTCCGCCAACCTCTGCCACCCCAACTCGGAGGAGCACCACGCCACCACCTCCCACAGGTATACTGGGCACAGACACATGATCTTGGCACTCCCAGAAATTCTTCACAGGGGTGGCCACATGGGGCGACTGAATATCTTTGGGTGGCACCAAAACCAAAAGCCAAAACTGAATTTCAGGAATTTGAAGATGCTGCTGAACCATATAGGCTTGTTGAAAACATACATGTGTCATTGAAAGAAAGGAACAAAACACTAACAACACACTATAGGCCCATTTTCATTCAGATATCTTGAAATGAGAGTTCAAGGGACCCTTTGAAAAATCGCCATGCCAGTTGTTCCCTCACCAAAATTAGCCTAACTTTGCAGCGTTATATAGCCTCCTCACAGACAAGCTATGCTGACATGGTTGGTACCAATGGATGCCTTCGGTCAGTGGTTCCCAACTGGTCCAGACATGGGGTCCAGATTTCTCCGTAGTCATTAGTTCAAGGTCCACACAGCTTAATTTATTCAGTGTAATACTGCCGTTTGGCCATATCCTCAAGCTAGTTAGCTGTCTCTGTCAAGTAGCTGTTGGTTAGTCACTCAATCTACAGCAGGAAATGGCACTTCAAAATAAAAGCTCAGTGCCGAAATCCTTCGCACTAGTTTAAAAATTAGCTCACCTTAGCCTCTTAAAGAATTATGTCTACCTCCAGTTGTCTTTGCAAGGATGGCCAGTGGGGGGCGGCAACTGTATTGGAGGGGCCTGGCCCCCCTTTGGCCCCCTTCTTGGGGCACCACTGTCAAAAAATTTTTTTTACAGCTTTATGTTTTAAGGAAGTTAGTCTGTAGGCACTTCATTCATTCACATGCATTCACACAAACTGGTATAAATATATAGCAGTGTGGGAAACCTGCTGTTTCAATTTGCAGTGATGCAAGGCAGACTTTTTACTGTGGTAAAATGAGAGGATCAGTAAACACAGATTGATGTTTAATCAAGCGCTTCTTTATTGAGCAGGCCTGGAGAGAGAATTCTGTCATACACACAACAGCACAACAGAAGGGTCTCTCACAGACAAGGGAGTGCTTGCTGTTTTTATAGCATAGCAGAGTGCTTTCAACAATCAAGTCCTCCATTACATCAACTCTTGCGTCTCCTCGTGAATCTTTCGGTCAAGAACTGGTCTTGTCTGGAACATCACATACGCACGGTTAATGATAGATGATCCCCCAAATAAGGGAATGAAATCAACACATAAAATGACACCTTGATTGTCATGTCTCACAAACATCTTCTCTCGCTAACAGCTAGAAGACAGTCACAGCGAGGACACTACATACACACTATTACAAATGATGATTTAAAATGTGACAGCTGTTAAATCTGATAATAGCATACTTCTCATTTTAAGCTCTTGTTTTCTTAAGTACACTTCACATTTTCTTGCAAAGCAAACACCTTATGCTTTAAGCAACAGGTGCTGTTCACTGCTTGGTCATTCTGTCTATGATCTCTGTCATCATGCACTACTCTTCATCAACATTGTCTACAATGGCCTAACCAGTCATTTAGAGGGGTTTGATTTTATTTTACCAGCTTTTGGGATTTTTAGGGGCCATTTGGGGGCTATTGCTTTTATAGTCTCTGGAGTAACTGCAAGATCTCTTCTAATAGTACAAGCTGCTGTTGAAATCCTAACTGTAACTTCTCAATGGCTTAAGCACAAGTGTGAGAGCAAACAAAACTATCGGCATACTACATACCACAAATGGTAAATGAGAAAAAGTAAACATTTCTTGTAATTTGGATGAAGTGACCAGACCAAGCATTAGTGCCGTCAACCTCGAGCAGGACACCAAATCACTGCAGTCTGACCGTGATGAAGAAGACAAAGCAAGAAGTGACATTCCCTGCAGAGCTCATTGAAGTGTTACCTTACAAAAGTAGATGTGTCATAACCTTTGCCTCTTTCTGCAGAGGCTCCCACACCTCCACCCATCACTCATGCTATGACTGTCAAGATGGACACCACACAGGGTGAGCTCCACAACAAACAGTGTGTATATCTGTATAAGAAAGAAAGCAAGCAAGACTGAGGAAGTGTGTTTCTGAGCGGGAGCTCATTAAATATTAAAGCAGACCCAAAACCTTTGATATGAGACACTTGAATCACATACACACATTCTTCTCCACTTGTTTCCTGTTTCAGTGCCACCCAGCACCAGCCAGCCCCTTCCTGCCTCCTCTGCCATCGTCATGACAACGGGCGTGCCCACCACGGAGCCCCTGCTGACCCCAGAGTCCAACCCCACCACCCTGGCCTGGCTCCGCAACAGGAACTTTAAAAGAAATGGGTGCTTCCGCTACGTCTATGGGACCTTCACTGGCAATATCACCATTATTGGTAGGTGGTAGGTTTAAATAAAAATCTTATTCCACTCAGTGCGTTTACATGACATTATAGAAAATTGATTTATTGTGTTAGTTCAACTAAAACTGGGCTTTTAAAATTCATGTAAACAAGTTAGTCCAACTGAAATCGTGCTAAATCAGATTTCTCAAAGTCGGACTGACACACCCAGATAATGTGATTGGGAGTCAAGTTACTTCTGCATGTATACAGTCAATCAGACCCAAACTGGCCTAGGTGCTCTGCACATGCTACACAGTTTCCATTCCAGGCTTTGACCCGTAAGTTGAACAGCATTAAGAGCGTAACAGAAGAAGCCAGTAACAACATGGCAAAATCTACATCCAGAGCCGTGCATTTTAGATGGACAAGGAGACACAGTTCATGCTTTGTCAGCTGCAAGAGTTAGATATCTTAAAATATATGGCTAACTTGTTTGTCGATTGTTAGATATGTGACATAGAAGGTCAATAAATCGATTCCCTTCCCATGGGACAAGGACAGTAGTCCTATTAAATGGCCTAATTGAGCTATAACCGTAGCTCGACTTACTGTGTCTTTTATGATACTACCAGATAATGCCAAATTCAGATATCTTGCCAGACTTAGAACAAAAAACCAAGGAGGTCTTGCTGTTTGTAAAAAATGCAGACAACCAAGGGAAAAAAAATAAATAAATAATGGCAAAAATCTTGCCAGACATAGTTGGAATAGTTATGATCCTTTATTACAAAGTAAATAATAGATCAGTTCACAATTTAACCTTTCCTTTTATTTAGTGGCATGGCTACGAGGATGGCAATGTCTGTCTGTCGATTGAGCCACCATTTTGGTCCAGACTAAAACATCTCAACAGCTATTGTTTGGATTGCCTTGAAATGTTGTACAGATATTTGAGGTACCCAGAGGATGAATCCTTATGACTTTGGCTATCGTTGACTTTTTTTAGTGCCATTATTAGTTCAAAATTTCTATTTGTCCATTGTCCAATTGGTTTACGACCAAATACTGCCAAAACTAATGACATCATCCTCAGCTGTGTTAATTGCTATTATCAAATGTTAGGATCCCAACATGCTAAACTGAGATGGTAAGCCAGGTAAACATTATACCTGCTAAGCATCAGCATGTTCAGCATTGTCAGTATGAGCATGTTGACATGCTGACGTTAGCGTTTGGTTGTAAGCACTGCAGTGCCTCTACAGCAGTGAGCAACCTAAGGGTGCAGGGTGGCCCGCCGACTACTTTCTAAGTCACAATGAAAATACATTGATTCGTAAAGGGTTTTTTTTGTACTTTGAATGTAAATAAAGGGGCAGAGTGCATAAAAATATCGAAATAGAGTGTGTTCATGAAAAGAAAAGTGCCAGGAGAGGATCCAGGGACTTGATTTGCAGATACCTCATCATTCACACAGTCAGATATATATTCCATATCTCAAATGTAACTCTAATCACTTCTTTTCATTGTAATTTTCAAGTAAACATGTAGACACCATAGAGAGTAGACAAGTGACTATGTTGCCCAGCTGTTAAAGTGCAGCCAGCTCCACTGAGCAGAACAGAGCTCCAGTCAGTGGTAGTCGTGTGAAACTGGCCTTTTGTGTACTAAGTTGAATTCTCCGCTGATTTTTGCACAAACAAATATTTACATTTTACGTGATGGAAAGATTATAGTTTTTCATCAAAATTGTTACTCCCTATTGTTATGGCCGACTTTTTCCATCCTCAAACCTTTCTTTGTGGAGTCAAACACACACCCCCGTCATTTAAATGTTATGAGAAGGTGATTACACATCTAAAACCGACTGCATTCATCTGTTCTCCGCAGAGCCCAAGCACGCACTGCACAGACAGCCAAACAGCCGTATTGTGGACGTGTCAGCTGCCAGAGTGACCGACACTGACATCAGCTTCCTGGTGAAATGTCTGGGCAAGTGAGTATATCATTATTTCATCACCAATTCTACTTAAATGTTAACCAGACTGGTGTTTTTCTCGACTGCTGTCCGGTGGAATCCAAAATTGTATCTCCAGAAAGATTTCAGGTGTCATGAAGTGACTCTTTTTCTCTCAGTATTCACATATGGAATATAGTTAAATGGAAGTTAAGTAATTGATAGATTTAAATTACATGATGGTGATAAAAATTACAGTCAAACTTTCAGAATTATAAGTAAGTCTTGTATAGTAGGAAAAAAGTTTTAGATAAAGCAAAGGATTTAACCTTTTGTCCTTCCATCCCCTCATCTTCAGCATCCCCACTTCAGCCTGCACCATTGTGTCAGACCCCACCTGTACTCAGGTGCGTGGCATTATGTGCGATGACGTGCCGCCCTCTTCAAAATGTGAAGTGCGTCTCAGGCGAACATTCCCAGAGCCTGGCACCTACTGTGTCAACATCACCCTGGAGGACTCCAGGAGCCTGAGCCTGACCAGCACCACTGTCACCATCAACAAGTCCCAGGATACACCTGGTGGGGTTACACAAAGACATTTAATCCAAATCCAACACATGCTCACAATGCACTCTCTTTAACTTGAAGTTTTGTAAGAAGTAGACAGATTGATGTTCTCTGTCTGAACCCCTCACTGTTGTTTTCTCTCCCTGTAGTGTCCAAGACTTCTCACACTGCAGAGGTGGTGCTCTCCTCGACCGCTGTGCTGGCGGCTGTCTTCGCATTCATTGCCTATCTGGTCTGCAAGTGAGTAGTCTTGCACAACTGACTGGTCTTAAAGGGGAACTTTGGTCATTTTTTTTAACCCAGACGCTGTTTTCCCATGTTTTTGTTTCTAAGTGACTAATGGAGATAACAGGTTTTGAAACTGGTCCAGTATTGACAGAGACCGCTGCAGCCAGAGCAATTTTGCATCCGTTTTTGACCACTAAAAGTGCTTGATTTTGCCATTGACAAACTCAGATTGTTATTAGAAGCGTCTTACAACATCACAGAGAAGACCCTACAGGAAAAATGAAATGCTCTTTCCCTTTTGCTGATTCGGTGTAATTATTATTTGGTCAAACCAAGTCTCGCTCAAGTAGAGGTCTCATTCTGAAATTGCTTTTCAACTTTTCCACATTGTTGAATTCAGCTTAAGTCATCATATTAAAAATCTTTTAGACAACACTAAGCTATGCTTTCTGTACTCCAACACGACTAACTCTTCCTGGCACTCCTCTCACCAACAATTCCACAATTATTTTTCCTGCAACAAGATTTCAGAAAGAGACTTCTCCTTGAGTGAGACTTGGTCACAAAAACAAACAGACCAGCAAAAGGTAGAGAAGAATGTTTCATTCTGTGTCGGGTCTTTTCCGTAAAATTGTCAAACACTTGTTATAATAATCTGAGCCTGTTAGTTGAAAAAAACAAGTATTTTTAATGAACATAGATTGATGGTGCACAATTGCTCATGGGGATCACTTGCAGCGGCAGAAGCAGTTTCTCTCCATAGCGGATTGAATTATTGTCTCCATCTGTCACTTAGACACAAAACATAAGAAAACAGGGTTCAGGCTGAAAAATACAGAGGTTTCCCTGTAAGGTTTGGTCTTCCACACACAACATGTTAAAGTGCCAAATATTCCCCCCTCTTCCCTCCTCTTATCCCTTATCTCTTCTCTCTCTCAGGCGCTACAAGGTGTACCGTCCCATTCGTAGGTCCCTGGTGGAAGATGCAAGCAGGAATGCTGGGGTCAGGGGTCGCATGAACCGTCTGAAGGAGTCACTCTTCCCCTCCAGCGAGGAGAGCCACCACTTGCTGACTGAGAGGCGCCCCCTGTAGGCTTTGTAGAGTTGCTCCAAAGCATTGCTGCCCTCAATGGCAAGAAGAAAAAGCACAGTTGACATTAATAAATGAAAGCACAAGTGAAATTGTTAAAAAGCCAATTCAGCAGGAAGCCATTCATGTCTGTGGCAAAATATTAGTAAAGAATTCTAATGCCTTGTTTGTGTCTTAATTATAGTTAAAGTGTTGGCTACAGCTACAGCAGTATATGATTAGCAGGATGATTTACTAAAGAGGCTGTTAAATGTCTGACTGAGGCACCGCTCCTTTTGATCTCCTTGTGCTGGCTCATCATTGCATAAACTAGTTGCTAGGAGATGAATTGGGTTCAAGTCGTGGCTGAAATGCTTTTGCGTGAATTTTGTGCCAAGTGCTGTCTTACACTGCTGCACCTTACACTGTGATGAGAAATTTGAAATCATTGAGATAGTTTGCCAATATAACATTTTACTACTGGTGACATGTGCGTGCTCTTCCTCAGTCGGATGAATTAAAATAAAAAAAATTAAAAAACTAATTCAAGGAAAACACTGGAAAGTTGAGCTGACTCTAATAAAGGTTGTGAACTAATCATTCATCTTTTGAAGATGGGTATTTCTCTTCATGTCTTTATAATATGAACCTCGCTTTAGTGCCATCACAAATGACCAGCAGAATATGATTCAAGGTTTAGCGGCTAAGTGGTAGAAAGATATATTTTTTTTAACCATTCACTTCAGTCAGTGAAGACTGAAGCTTTTGAAAGCCTAAATGATGGCAACAAATCCACCATGGCAAGATAACTTCCCTATACCCTAACAGTGAGGCTAGAATATTTTACACCCTCACCTGCATACGTTTGGATACATACCATCATGTGCGTACTTGTTTAACATACTGATTCTAAACAGGCCTATAGTATGCAGTGTGTTCACACAAATGAAATGGAGATGCTTCTCAAAGTTGGGTGGAAAAACATACTATGGAGAACAGTAAAACAGCTCAGAATGTCAAAAAAATTGGAAAAACATTTTGCTTTCGCGTGAAGTCACAGTTTGATATATGAAACTCACTGTTAGTATTAAAACATATACTTTTATGAAGCAAGTCTGTTGCGGTCTTGTATACTTATTGAAAAAATACTATACAGAGTAGTGTGTGGTGTTACATGCAACTGTCTGTATGTGGTATAGATTTTAAGATGTAGCCCGCTACTGTAGAACATGCTATAAATTCACAACATGGGCACACCATCAAGTCTCTCTTATCCAAGAACTTAACCAAACCTGTTCCAAAATTAAGTATTAGTGATCAACAATGTGAGTGACTTCAAAATGGCATAGTGTCCCTGGTTTGTGCCATAAAGCAATATATGGTTACTCCTTTGCAGGGGTGTCAAACAAATACAGCCTGATCTGGCCCACTGGATGACTTAACACGCTTAAATAAAATTGATTGATTGATTGGTTGAACACACCTAATATCAATTCACTTGAGGGCTACGAGGTGCCAAGTTAAATAGTGAGTAGCCCAGTTCATGTAAAAAAAAAAAAAAACTACACCAGAGGCTTTTCCACCCCGACCACAATACAGTTATCTGAAAAAAGAATGTATACTTATTGTGGTCAGATTTAAGATGTTGACCGTTGTGCAAAATATTGTCAACCAGCAGCTTGAAAGGGAAACATTTGGAGGTGTTTATAGGTTATTCTGCAATGGTTTTACTAGTCCGACCCACTTGAGATCAAATTGGGCTGTAATGTGGCCTGCGAACTAAAATTACATTAACATCCCTAACCTGGTAGTTTTCTTGTTAGATCAAACCCCACGGACTTCAATATGAAGCATGCCAGTCAATCAGTCGCCTAAAAAAAAAAAAAAAAAGGACAAAACACCACAATTTAATTATTTTTTTTTTTTTATTCAGAGGCATTTGACAAGTGGAGCTGTGTGTGAAGGGGAGGTGAAGGGGCACAAGCATGGTTGCAGAAAGGGGGAGGAGGGAATATCATGCTGAAGTTAGATCGCTTTTCCAAAAAACTCAGAGACCCAGTCCCTCATATCTGTCTCATACCAAGAGGATGTTCCACGTTACACAGCCAAGAAATGCTAACAGAAGAAAATAGCTACCAAATCAGCAAGTGAGTGTAGCATCTGTGAAAGACGAAAGGGAAAAAAAAAAGACAGGACTTGTATCTATTTTGAAGTCTTACAAATCAGAAACAAAAAAAGGCAGGCCCTTTTTTTAAACTGTATTTTCTCATTTTAACTATTGAATGCAAAATCAAACACGTGATTTGACCTTTTTTCACAAAAAAAAAAAAACAAGCAAAAGTTCAAATACATGTAAGCCACACCACCGAAAATAGAAAGCAGAAAGAAATAACCATCGTTGGAAGATTTCAATTAAGCCAAAAAGAGTATATATAAACACTGGCAAAAGAAAATATTTTTTGATCACTTTCGATTAATCTCTCAATTCTAAAGAGTAAATGATTTTAGTTTAAGTTTTCATTCATATCTGGGGAAGCATGGGGAGGCATAAAGGAGGGGGTGGGGGTTGGGGGGGGCTAAATTCTAACAAATAGAAGAATGCCTCTACTTCAAATACGTGTCTAAAGAGGTAGATCAAAACAAACTGCAGAGGAGGGGGAAAAGGATGGGGAGGGTGGTTTGGCAGGAAGGAAGCAGGGGATTGGGAGGTGTCGGGGATATTTTTAAGTATCACTTGTGCCCCTCAGTTAAGCGTGGTGGTAGGATGGCGCGCCCATGTAGAAAGAAGTGTTCGGGGGACTGAGGTATCAGTGCGCGCTGGCGCTCAGTGGGGGCAGGGTGGGGTGCCTCGTGCCACAACAACCCCCCACCCCCTCAGCTGAGGTAGACGGCGTTCTACTGTGGAAGCATGGATACACTCGAGCACAATCAATATATTTACATTCGGCATGAAGAGACAAATGAAATAAATTGTATATTTAAGTTTTGGATTCCTTTCCTCTTTTCTTACCCCCCAAGTCAGGGCTCATTCAGTATTCCGTGTGCCTTTTCTGGCTTGTTTTTCCCTGTTTGAACAACAAATTGAAACATCAAGTTGCGTTTGTAGGTTACAGAGAATGTCTTCTTCTTTATATCATTTTCCTATAGCGCAAAAAAAAATAAAAATAAAATAAAATAAATGTATGCGTCTATCAGTGTGACTCCCCCTACCCCCACCATGCAGTGAACGACGTTGACATTGACTTGATGGTCTGGCTACAAGGACCACTCCGAACTGACAAAGCTTGCTCTATGAAAATAAACCTAGTCGGGCTTGGACCTTGCTAAGACGCCATCGTCAAGAAGGTGGCTGATGGCCTGGGAACAGAACAGACAAAACACAGACGCTCTGCTGACTGTAGGGCAGCTAGAGGGAGGACCATCACAGTCTGCACTGCACTGCCCTGACCACAGCCCTCTTAGGAAGGCAAAAGGATATTTTTTGACAAATTAAAGTACCACTACCAGAAACAATGTCAATCCCAAAACTAAATGGCATTGCTGCAATTATACGGTTGGCATTATTTGCATGTCTTAGTTGTTTTGTACTTTTTTTTCAGAAGATGGTGGACCCTCAGGGGAAAAACTGAGGCGATTTTCTCTCGATACTCCTGTCAGCCGCCAGCTGAGGGGGCGCCAACTCTTGCTCCGGGGCTGCTATGTACAAATAGACTTTATGTACAGGGTCATCTTAAGTCACACATACACATGAACAATGCCACCTAAAGCACCAGAGTTGAAGGCAAGGTCAGTTGGCAGCTGACCAAATTTTAAATTTTCTTAAAAAAATAAAAATGTTCAAAGACTATCAGCTTTATAAAGTATACAAAATACCACAAAAGCAAAATAAAAAAGAAAGGAACATTTTTCATATATATATAATCATTTTCTTTTCTCTTCTGAGGTACTAGATCCTGAGGTAGTTAAGTAAAATGCATATTAAATTGGTTTTCCTGGGCAGCAGCAGTTCGGCACCGTTTCCCTAAGTGTCAGTCGTGGCGCTGCCCTCACCTCTAAATATATATTCATCTATGTATATAGGTCTATCTATAAAATGCATCCAAATTTATAAAATGCCACTATCATTACAAGAGCAGGACACCCAATATAATCCACCCTTTCAGGGGTCCTGTCCTGAAACAAGAATCTTTCCCCTAAACATGGCCCACCCAATCTGAGCCAACCCTCCCCCAAAATAAACCTCTCTGTCGGTCCAACCAGGACCTTGATAGCAATGCCTTTTCCTTTCCACAGAAAACTCATGAGAAAGCTTCATCAACCAATTAAACGCTTAAAAGAAAAAAAAAAAACCTAAATCTGAAGTCAACCAAAACATCTTGTCAGGTTTGAAGTACCACACCAAGGAAGTGATAGGAGGGGGATCCTTATTTCTTCTTTGTGTTTCTAGTGTAAAAAGAGGACAAAAAAAAAAATTTAACACACCCGTGGGGGGGGGAGGGGGGGGGAGGAGAGCGGTCAAGGGGTGCGTACATGTGAGGGCAGGTGACGTAGTTGGGAGCCCTCAGAAGTACATTCTCACAGAGATGCAGAGAGGTGAGGAGGGTGGAGGTTTGGAGGCGTGGGGTCTCTTTAATAGCCACACTTGAAAGTTCATCAAGTAAGACAAGAAGGGGTGATGTTTGGTTGGGTTCTCATAACCTTTGACCCCTGAGATGAGCATTGTGACCCCGTGTCTTCTTCGTCTCCCCCTGGACTCTGCTGCATCTGTGCATCTGTCGAGTCTTCTGGCAGATTCAGTCACCATTCCTCCAGGTCCGCTGGAGCTTTACTTCCTGCGGGGCTGTGGAGTTTGAGATCCGGATCCGGATCCGGGCTTCGGCTGCTGCTGCCTCCTCACCTGGGCCAGGATCTCCTGAATCTTTCTCTGGGCCAGCTAGAGGACATGAGAACAAATTAAGATCAGATCACAGCACAAAGTAATCTTATTAAGAGACCTTAAAAAAGGATCTGATCGTGACATCCTCAAATGATATCTTGCGAGTCACAGTACATGTTCCTCTCAGCCTGCAGGGGATAATAGCTGACTCTCTGTGGGCTGCAGTTGTCCAAAAGTAACTTATTGCAAGGAACTTCTTAGGGTGTTTTCACACTTGGTACTTTTCAGCCCTCTAAGTGGACTCAGAGTGGTGACACTGTTTTGGGGCATATGTGAACACTCCAAGAGAACTCAGACCCCTGTGAAGCAAACCGAACTCCGACCGAGTTCGGTTTGCTTCATAGCGATCCAGTCAAGTCCACGGTGCTGTTCACTTAACCTGTGCATTATGAACACAAAGTGCTCAGGTTCGCTTTACTCTTTGCCATTTTATTTCGCCCTCTAGATCACATGCTGTTGCACTGAGACACTTCGGCTTGTAACGCTTGCAAAGAAGCATGACGAGGAGTAGTTTGGTCCACAGAAGATACTGCACGTCTCCAGATGTGGAACGTAGAATACATCAAACGGCAAAAGTCTACAGCACAGAGAAACACTAAGGTTTTCCTGCAATTTTAAGTTCATTTGAAAGTGGGGAGCTTCATAACCGCACTGCCGTGCCACA